CCCCAAAACCCCAAAACCCCAAAACCCCAAAACCCCGTTTATAAATATTAATAATGAAGTAGTTTAAAATATATTTGTGTTAAATATTACTATATTTTTGATTATTGGTAGAAATTCTCTCCCGCCAGTCCCATTACATCTACTAAAGTATTAAAAAGAAGCTATTATTCTAATTTGTCGAGTTCTGAATTCCTTCTTCACTGGAGAAATTTGAAATGAAGAAGAGCAGTGGTGGAGAGTGTTGAGTAGGATAGGATTAGCATTTGAGATTTGGTTAAGAGGATTTTGGAATAAGGGGTTTGAGCTAGGGATTTTTTAGAGGGTAAGGAGTGGAGTAAGAAGTGCGAGGGTGTTTTAGAAGTTTGGTAATTAAATTAAGATTTTTGATATAATTTTAATTTTTAAGAGAATTTTGCTATCCAGCACTTCACTATCCTATCTTATCCTCTTCACCTTTAGAAAATTTAATTTACTACTGCTAAGTTATATCAATTCTTCTCAGTCTTTTTACTTGTTATATCTCTTCCCCACTTTCTTCTCATCAAAGTAATTTTCAAAATAAATCTTGCAGTAGAAATGCCTTAAACTTGAAAGACGATCAAATAATTAAGTTAATTTTTATGATATTTTTATACCTACTTAAATTCTGACGCTGATTTTAATAGAAACAGAAAGATTAGTCCGGAAAGATCTTTTCCCATAGTTTTCTGTTTGTATGACAACTGTTACAGTTACTTTTGACCTTATGATTTATAAATCATTCAAAAATTAGCAAACTCTTTAATTTAGACCACAAAATCTACTTTAATACACAATTCCAAAATTTCGCCTTGAACCTCATACCCAAAATTGTCCTCAAATAAATCAAAAATGAAAACACTAAAAAAAACTGAAATCAAAAGAAGAGCGGATCAGCACCAGCGTTGAAGATACTACTCAAGCCACAACCCTATCCACTACTCAAGAGAACACCAATAAGAAGAAATATATCCTAACCAAGCAGTCTTTAGTATCCAACATTCTTCCTTATTTCGGCAAAATGCAGGAATGAGACATTTTCATGAAGAAGTTTTCTACAGAAACTCGGTCCCTCTGGAACAAAAACTTAAATTTGTGGATTAAACATCTCGAAGACAATCTGGAAGGGATCAAAATAGATCATGAAAATATAGATTTTTGGACTAAAAATCCACCTATTCATAACTGAAGGCTGTATTTCAATGATTACCAAATTTTCACGAAGAAATGGACAACTAAGATTGTCAAGTTTGCAAAAGCACTTCCTTGCATGAGCCAGATCAAGCGGATTAAGATTGATAGCAGTGGTCGCTGACAGTTTGAGAATCGAGAGGGACCAGCTATCGAAAAGGTTATTAACAATTTAGATAAGATATCTAATGTGCTTGGTCATGAGCCTTCACGAAGGCCGGATCCTACAGAACCTCCAAAGAAACATAGCGTCTATTTCAGTGATATAATCAGCGCTAAGAAGTACTATGGGATTATAAATTTCAAGTTAATGATTTTCCCTAAGGTAATTCAAGAATCAAAGATACTCTATGTTGACTCGAAATATATTCTTGATAATGATTGAGTTCGTGTTTGAAATATTGAAGAAGAAGACTTCCCATTCATTTGAAATCTGAATTTTGGGGACCCAAGGATTCCAATTTTCAAGAATGTCAAAAAAATCAAACTTTATAGAGATGAATACAACAATCCATTGCACAGGATAAAAATCAACAAGATTATCAGGAAATATTATCCGAATTTGAAGAACGTTAAACTTGATGGCGATTTTGTAGGAATTTGAAGGAGTGCACCAAAACTTTGAGATATTATGGAATCCACGAATACCAAGCTTGTGAGAAGGCAGAGCGAACTTATCTGGGAGACCCCTATTTTACTGAAAGCTGAAAATGCAATAGTAACAAGAAAAGAGTGAGAGGATGGAGAAGAATCCTTTAAACACTGGTATAAATGAACAATCGAAGTATCTGCTAAAAATTTTACCATTTCAGACAAAAATATCTACATTCTAATATTCGACATAATCTCCATCGGAAACTGCTCTAAAACAATCCAATCACCCTCTCACCTCAAAACCATAGAATACCTCCAAACCATCGAACCAAACTCCCTCTTCTCCAACCTCAACGACTGGCTAATCCTCTCCACCACCTCCCTCACCTCCATTTCCCCCACCTACACCTCCTTCTCCGACTGCTGCATCGAATCCCTCCCCTCCCCCTTCTCCCCACCCACTCTCCTCCCCTCAAACCTTTCCTTCTACAACTCCTTATCCCCCTCCATCCCCTTCTCCATCACTTGTCCCCCTATTCCATCTACCTTCTACATCTACAAGCTCTTCTTCCACTCTTGCCGCCTTCTTCACCTGCTTGCTCCTTCAGCCAGCCGCTACTGTATAGAAGTCCTTGAATGAGCGGGTCCCCGCTCATTCAAGGATGTGTTTACAGAAGAGGTTGTGGAGAGGTTCAAGGCGTTTAGAGTGGTGGGATTGGTGGAGAAAGGAATGGGGGTGGAGGAAGTGGAGGAGATGGTGGAGAGAGTGAGTAGGTGGGCGAGGATGAAGGGGTGAACAGGGGTTGTGTTGAAGGGGTATGAGGAGCAGGTGTTTGGAGAGGGGTGTGTGAGGGTGCAAGGGTGTAAGATGGTGAAGCAGGTGGCGAGGAGGGTGAAGGTGCCGATGGGGGTGAAAGTGGTGATAGAGTAATTAATAAAAAGTTCTAAAAATTAGTAAGCCACTGAAGAGATTAGTAGATTTAAATTTTTGTCAATTTTTAAAAGGAGAATTGGGGTTTTGGGGTTTTGGGGTTTTGGGG